TACATACATACATACATACATACATACATACATACATACATACATACATACATACATACATACATGCTTAAATGCATACATACTCATACGTATTATTGTTCATAGCTTAAAATGTATTATAGAAGCACCTACAGCGTTGTGCGCCAGGCACCAGGTATTCCATTGATTGACGTGTCTGAGGGATGCTTTTCAGAGCAGGCGGACGTAGATTCTCTTCATTGTCCTCCGAGTCATCAAGATCATTATCATCGTCGTCGAAAATATCGTCGTCATAAGCTAGGGAACGGCCCTCTCGACCAACGCCGCTAAAGGCAGCAGAGACAGCGGCTGCAATAGCCGCAGTAGAAGGAAAGGGTTTTTGACTTCTACTCGGTTCCAGAGGCGTCTTCAAAGCGCCTGGCTGGCTGGAAGCAGGCAAAGCTGAACGACCAGCAACTCCGTTAGTTAATGGGTGTGGCTTGCTGGGCTGTCGAGACCGGGCTGCTATGATGGATGGGCCCGATGGACCTGTGGAAACGTCGCCAAGTATCTGAGAATCGGCCGAAGGAGGGCCGAACTGAGGAGCCTTGTCCATAAAAGAACGACTGTGAGGGATCAAGTCGTTTGGGTTCGGTAAATTGACGTAGGGTGATTCATTTGTTTCTGAAAGGAATTTGAAGAGTAAAATTAATAATTGTATTATGTGTAAATACAAGGAAGAGAAGGAAGAAAGGAAAGAAGGAGAGGAAAAAGAAGCGAGGATGGCTGGCAGGCAGTCGATATTGCCGAAACAACCTACACGAATTTGAGCGACAAACTATCAAATCCCTGTAACAGTATGTTCCAAAATGTTGATCCTTGCCAACCAGTTGTAAGTCCCAGATATGCTTTCGAACTCCCTTGCTATCCAATTATTTATTCGAACGAGTGCATAAATTTTGTTTCACTATTACCTAAACATTAAGATTTGTAATCTTAGCAATAATATTAGCCCTAGGATTAATCCATTAGCGGACTGTGTAAAGTGAAATGACATTTTTTCAGGAATGATTGGATAGCTACGAGATGTATGAACATGCACTTCCTATGCAAAACCATCCTTCGAACCAACTAGCACAGAAATAAACAATTATGTATATTCTTGAGTAAATATAGATGAATTAACTTTCCTTAGGCCAACGTGAATGTCCGGTTGAAGCATTTATCTTTTATTTACTAAATGAATGTTTATTTCTCTACGTTGTTTTATAATGCCATGACGTTATTTCAACTTGATTACTTGAACTTCTCGGCATTGTTATTATCAGTCAGAGTGGATCAAACTTGTTATGATTTCAGACTGAATTTTAAAAGACATATGCTGCCATAGCCGTCTCTCGGGATAAGAGCTTTTGCCATTTATAATTTAAGATTGTAGTGTTATGTCTATGTTTAGAAAAAAACTGTGAATGAATATTTTTACCGAGTTTAGATAGAATTGTGAATGCTAATCTAAGTTAAACTACAGCTGTGTTGACCTCGTCTTAGCAACGTGGTCGTAAAGTCAGGAATATTTCGATGAAAGCACCTTGTCCGGAGTTCTCTGTCATAAGTATTTATGATAATTTCCAGCGTCGGGGCGTGGACTTGCTACCTTGCCAGACATTTCGCCGGCATCTTCAGTGAGTCCTGTCATTTCTCCACCTAACTACAATTCTTCAAGGAGACAAGACTTCTGTACAACGAAAAGAGACAGCCACTATACTAAACGCTACAACAACTTGGTCTTTATACCTTCGGTTGAACTAGACTCTTCATTGAAGACGAGGCTTCATTTCTTCCGCTAGTAACCTGTTTAGCATCCCATCTTATGTACGTTTTGACGGGGTACAGCATAATACGATGAGCATACAGCGCCAAAAGCTGCATTAATTGGGGGACAGCTCAACTGACAGCTTTTGAGAGCTTGATGCACTATTTATGGCTTATACTTATTCAAACTTAGTTGACCTTTTCGCCACCAACTATCTGGCTAAATCATACTGAAGAATTGGGAATCGCTGATCCTATCAG